TAGTCCAAGAAAGTACAATCTAAACACGATCCTCCACCTTATACTGAATTAGGTTTCAGATAAAACCTTCTCCTCTCGGACGTTGCAATACATCATTCTCAAACACTTTGCTTGGACTTCTTGAAACTTGGAGTCGGTGTATATCTTTTGGAATAACTTTTCAACTTTAAACCCACTAAACCAACCTCCTCAACTACTTGGAGCATCGTTGATCTGCACTAACCTCATCACGAACCCTTTTTTCCCAACGCAGTGCAATATTTTTGTGGGAACTTAAACAATTTGGTGTTATGGTTCACAAAGCCGTCAAAAAAACCGATTGATGCTCTCCACCCTTTGCGTGGTCTTCATGCCGGCCTTAAAGAACTCTTTCATGTATGCGGTACCCACATACGACTTTCTTTGTGGAGGCTTTCCAGCTATTTGTTGTCCTCCAACTTGTACTCAGAAAAAGTGCAGCCCATCGCTCATGGAACTCATCGGGGGTAAGACTCTCATACACAGCCTCCTTAAGAGGGTTCTGGAATTCTTGGTAGCTGCAAAAAATTCAAGCAAAATCATGACATATAACAAAGTTTATGTTAGGATGAAATGTAGATAATATCTTTCATAGATAACCCACCTTGTTGGTGATTTGCACAACTTAATGAAAAAAACAAAAAACAAAAATCAAAAAAAAAATAAAATTAAATATGCCAAACCTGAATTTCTCAGCCACAAACAATGAGCACTTTTCAACACACAGAACATCCAAGTTAAATGATATTAGTTGTAAAATTTTTTGTTATACAGATAATTTATAACTTTATAAGAGTTCCGAAGATAAATCCTGAAACTTTGATCATAATATGAAATTCACTTCTGCATAAACACGCTACCATATGAGATAGAAATAGATAATACAGTACAATACCTGTGATAAATAGGAAATAGTCCAAGAGACCACGACACAATATGGTCTGATAACACCAATGTAACTACTTACTAGCCTAGACTTCCTCTAAAAGTAGTGTGGAGTGAAGGAATTATCAGCCTAGCTTGCACTTACATGATTTTAGGATTATGGTTATGGAAACACAATGAAAACTCTTGACAAATTGTACTGAATAATCAATAAAAAAAATTTGCCAGTTGAGTCTTAAGCAGATATGACAATATGACATATAAGCCAACTTCACCTCAATATCAAAGCAATACAGATCAGAATACTAACACTAATATATTCAGATTCACACAGTTACTGCACAGCAACTATACCAAATCTTTATTGGGAAGCATTTTGACTAACCGTGCGTACTTTCCAAGTTTCTCAGGGATCTTGCTCATGATATGCCATATGCACCAACGATGCATCGTGTTTGGCATGACTTCAGCTAGGGGCCTCCACATGGCTGCCGCTTGGTCGGTCAAAATGGCATTAGGAGCTCGCTTGTTCATGCATGTCAGCCATTGTCGAAATATCCACGCAAACGTATCACAATCTTCATGTGAAACAAGAGCACAACCCAACAACAAAGATTGGTCGTGGAGGTTGACTCCAACAAAGTTCACAAACGAAAGCTCGTACTCATTTGTAAGATAGGTTGCGTCGAAACAAACCACATCCCCAAAGTTCTCATAAGCTACCCGGCTTCTTGCATCCACCCACAAGACGTCCTTAAGCCTCCCCTCTTCATCCAAACGTTGTGCATGGAAAAAAATTTGGTTGTCAGATTGCATTTTCTCAAAGTACTCCATCATTGCCACTGCGTCACCGCCTACCATCTTCAATCGCCTTTCCTTGTATACCTCATGCTGTAAATCTTTGCCAGTTAACAGTATTTTTCTATTCCGTTTCGATTGGTCGCCATGCACCCGTGTATTTGACATACGGGCACCCCCTGCTCATAGTAATCCAACAACTTCTTCTTTACATTTGTGGTCATATGCTTCATGCGGTACTCCTTGACAAGCTTGGATAGAATCGGATCAATAAAGTGATTATGCACTAAGTGCACAGTCTTCAACTCCCAAACACCGTCTGCATTAACACTAGCATAAATTCGGGCCAAACATTGACACTTTTTTGAAGTCCTCTTCGATCCGCTTAACTCATCCTCACATACAACACCATAAACTAATCCACCTGAACCTCCAACCCCCATTGCCCCTCTTCTTAGCTTCCCTCCTAGCCCTCATGTCAGGTCTTCCCCAACACTCACACTTCAATGTGGTTGCAATTGTCATACTCTTGTCCATCATAGAATTTACACCCTGCACCCTTGTCACTCCAAACCTAACCTGATACTCCTTATAATAGGCTTCAACTTCCTGCCAACATCGAAATACTATCCCTACCTTAGGCTCCTCAACAGTGATTACAGTCTTTTGGTTGCTACCAACAACCGTGTGTGTTGTTTGAACTGTTTTTATGGGGGATAAATACATCACATGCCTAGTAACACCATCAGTGTTACCACAGGTATCTTCAACTACAATTTCTTCTATGCCATCACCCTCCAAATCCTCCACATCAACACTACTCCTAATCTTAACTCCGCTACCCCGATCAACAACACCACCCTTACCAGTTGCATTTCCATGTCTCCAAAATATTAGTATCCATGACACCCTGTTTCCTTAGCTAACAAACCATACAAACCATACTATTTTAGGTAAACAAACTAACAACATAATTCTCATCAAATAATTTAACCCATATACACAAAAAAATTAACACACACTTTACTGCAACAAACAAAAACAACCAAGACTCAGAAGTTTTTACACCATGTAAATAAAGCATTCCAGTACTTACAGAACCAACCAAAAAACATCAGCAAATATATTTATGACTAATCAATCGAAGAAAAAACCGTTCTTTTTACACAACAAAATGTTTACAGAATCCGCGAACTCACTAGAAACAAACCTCAAATGATTAAATTCAAGCCACTGAAAACCTAGTGGTTAAATTCAAGCGACACAAAACCGCAATTGATTAAATTCAAGCCACACCAAACAATAATTGCTATTTCTACCACATCACTAATATCAATTGAATCCCGACAAAACAAAAAAAATATTACACAAATTGACAAATTCACTAACCTCTACTTCCACCGACCATGAGATCTGAAAACCGCCTCAGAATACGCACTTCGCCATTCACAGAGAGAAGAGAGAAGCTTTAATGTAACATAAATATGTTACTCTTTTACTGCGTGTCCTAATTGGAATCGTTTGATAAAATTAACGACATCCATCTCACTCAGCTACCTTTGCCAACTAAGCATGTCCCCACATATGTCTGCACAGCAGCACAACAATGCAAATAGTTGGAAAAAATTGCAAATATGCCACTAGAGAAACAAAACCCGTTTCTCATGAAGAGTAATTGCGATTCTCTCATTAATTATTATGACATTGTTTATTTGTTTTAATTTAATTTCTACTATGTCTATAGATTGCAAGAAGCAGCCATGCATTTTGGTGAGAGCATCAAAGAAATTATTAATGAAGATTTTGGTAATGGCATGTGAGGATCTTACCTTGCTCTAATTCGCTCTTAGATTATATGCTACACTAGTGCTCTATCTTTGCTTCCTTCTATTTAATATTTAATTGTTATTTGCTATGTCCATCTCAGTAAACTTGTGGTGATTGTGTGTAATTTAATTGTTCATCTTTTTGTTGTTGCCTTAATCAAATGTTAATGAGGAATGACAAGTTACTACAGGAGATTCTGAACCTATTAGTCAACTACACAGAGGTTTTAGTTATAAGAGTTTCAGTTTAATTGACAAAACCAAAGTTGAAGTTAAAACAAACTATTCTTGACTTGACATCAATTGTAAGCCTAGTTGGGGCAATAGTGGTTGCTTCTGAAGTTTGCACTCTAAACTTAGTTGACCATTACTTGTGGAAACTTATGAATTAGAGATTATTGTTGTAAAGGGACACCCCATATATAGAACGCATATTGAAGATCTCATCTTATCTCATACAATCCAATTGATTTATAAGAAATTCTTCTTCTACTAGCTATATGCTAATTCAGCAACTTAACTTACAGTCTATGATGCATCAAAGTGTTACGCTTGCTCTCACTATGACTAGGGTTATAATTCAGTCATTTTTTTCTATAGGCTTGATCGTGCATTTTTTCGACAGGCTTGTGTTATTTCTGATCTTGCATTTACTTCTTGTTTAGTTTGTCAGGCTCATGCACATGTTTGTCTTGCTCGGTTGACAAGGTTGAAGGTGTAGATGGAAAGGACAGTGTTGTCATTTCCTTAAAGGGGAAACATTCACCATACTTTGAACAGGTTAGTTGGAGTTAATTGTATTCAATTTGGTAGACATTAAAATATTTGAATTACAATCTTTTACGTCTCTTAAGTAGCTTTCTTCCTAGCAGCCTGATTGCAAGTTTCAAATGAACTAGTTTGGTATGCTCACTTTTATTCATTAATTTATTAAAGCAATAATTTAATTATGCTGAAGTTGTTTAGTACAAGTCTTTATTTCAAGTGATTCTATTATGTGAAGCTAATAGCTGTTCTCATAAAAAATAGATCTTACAAACAAATAACTCTAACAATGCACTCTTACTAAATTCTGTTTTTTTTTTCTTTCCATAAGGTGTTTTAATAATTGAACTCACTAATAATGGTTAATGCTACAACAAATGATATGAAACGACTAAGCTGTTTTTATTTATTTATTTTTTATTTTTTATTTTATTATTATTATTTTTATTTTTTTTTATCCTCAGTCATTAGTATAAGTACAACTGGAAAAACCATGAGCATATAATCCCTTTTTTTTGTCCTTCAAAAAGTTTTATAAAATTGTCTTTATAATTTTCAGCTAAATCCCGTAATTGATCACCTTTGTATCTCACTATAGCAATTTAGGCAAGATAGCCCAAGAAGGATAAATATGAAATAATAGCTCTTTCATATATTAATCATGGCAAAGTGAATTATATGTTGAATTGTGATAGATGGATAGCAAATATTTAACTAAAATTGAAGGAGATTCAAATTGATTAATAAATGTTGAGAGCAAATTGTAGGGAAAAAAATGGCATTAGAAGTACTATGTATGAAGCTCTTAGTAGATGGAAATTTGGAGCAGAAAATCTATCTATCTATATTATATATAGAACTTGCAATCGTAAAGTTCAACATGGAATTCATCACTGAGATTGTGTAGTCTAACATAAAGAACAAGCATGACTGAGCAGCTCATAATTTGGAGTATCTTTGTCAAGAATGAACCCAATTACACAACTGCATTCATTAAATCTTTTTAGAAAAATGGACTTCGGTGAGTTTAGGAGGGACATCATTAGCAGCTTTTTCTTCATTATAAGTATACGTAGTGTATAGTAAAGGTATGCTTTGCTGTTGTATGGTAGTATTATAATTATGTCTCTTCTACTGTTTTATAATATACTCTTGGTCAATATGAGAAGAGAGCTTGATAACCTTTTCGATGCAGATGATTGTAAAACCCATCACATACATCCCCTCACGGAGGAAAAGAGAATGACTATCACTGCTTTGGAGATGCATGATTATGTAAGATGTTCAATTCTTTCTTTACTATATTTATTAGTAACTAGAGAGATGTCATTAACTGTAAGTATATAGTATAAAGACATAAATTGTTTGTCTATGTTTTTAATACTTGTCTACTAGATTACTTAAGAGAGTAAGTTAGGATTAGTGTATGGGAACACTTGACAATATATGTCTTCCATTAATTTTCTATTAGAATCATATTGTCATGATGTACCTTAATATCATTCTAAAGATTTTGGCAGCTTGATCGCATATTATTGGAATTTTTGGATGAATAGAAGTCAAATAGGAGGATATTTTTGAGAAAAAGAACTAGGAAAAAGGATAGGAGCAAACATAAAATTAATATTGGTTGGACGAAGAGAAAAAGCTACTATTTATAAGACTGCCCCTAAATACAAATTCTCTTTGCTTAGCAATGACTGAATCATTTATGGCTTATTCTCTATTTCTTTTATCTCTTGCCTTACACGCCACAATTACAAAAAGATGATATATTGAAAGCTAGGACTTAGATTATTAGTAGGTTTTTCATTATATGATAGTTGCATAGGTTAATTTTAATATTTTATGAACATGATATGAATTATTTGTTCAATCTAACTTTTATATAATGTGCTATAAATACATTCTATGCAACAGGTTAAACGTCATAATTATCTTGCACGTTATCATTTGAAGCATTACATTAAAAATGGTGTGCAAATAACTCAGCCACACAATCAACAACGCAACGATATTTGTACTTTTGCAGTAGTTGGTAGACAGCTAGAGTATCAATTGAAGTTCCAATTTCATTGCGTCAAAGAATCTGCTATATAAATCATGAAAAATGGCCCGATGAGCTTATCCAAAGAAATCCTGATCGTAATCCATTTTGTAGATGGAGGCCAAGTGAACTATTGGAAAGTGCTAAAATTTTTGGTGTGCCTCTTTATGACCAGGATAGACATAAAATTCAGTATTTTAATAGTCAATACCCTGTGAAACTAGGTTTTTGAGAGAGTTGCTTGTCGAGTTTCCTGTTGTAGGCGTGATTAAAATCACGGAAGATTACCCTATGAATGGTGAGTATGTCTATGAGGGTAAAATGGAAGTGAAAAAGGAGGTTATAGTAGACCAAAAAGGAGTGAATTCAACTGTTGAGGCAACACATGCAGTTGTACTTCTTGATATTTGTGATTATAATGGAGATACATATGTTTGTTATCAGAACTCATATGGTGATTCGAGTGTGAGTATGTGCTCTGATAGTATTTCTTGATCGCGGTTTGAAACTGTGTTGGAGATACATTATGGAGAATCTATCCCCCCCCCCCAATGCACCCTCCACCTGTTCTACAATCTATGTGGCAAAGGAAACAATTTGCAATTGCTTTTAATAAGCTTTCTTCATTATTTCAAGAACTTGAAGTAGCTTATAAAGGTGGTAAGCAATCGTGGGATGAAGTGAGGAACCTTTATTGTAAAGGTCAGGTAGAAAAATCAAAGGAGACACTCAATGATGCTGTGAATTTGTTTAAAAGTAGCTGCAAATATTGTGAAGGAGATACGTCCTTTGGTTATAAAATATAGGGGTGTGGAAAGTGCTTCCAGTCTCGGGTCTTCCCCAATTGAAAAGATTGCTTCTGATGCTATCGAAAAGATTGCTCTTGTTGAGAAATTGCAGACAAATTGCCATTATCAGAAAGAGTACTTCAATGCAAGGAAAAAACCGAGGAAATGATAGTAGATGAGATTTTTGCTATCACGAGGTTGTATATAATTAGTTAACATTATCTTTGTAGCAAGGTTTAAGTTTTAGTTTTGGTCGCACGTATTTTAACGACTATTTCACTAATGCCACTGATACTTAAAAAATTCACCAAATGCCACCGTGTTTTTTCAAAATTCACCAAATGCCACTGAGGTTTAGTACAATATCATCAAATGTCATTTCCGTTAGTGGACCGTTAGTTGACCCCACCACTAGCACGTGTCACCTTCTGATTGGTCCGTTTTTTAAAAAAAATTAAAAATAACAAAAAGTAAAAAAAATAACAAAAAATTAAAAAAAAAACTGAACCTCAAACCCCAGCCACTAGCCCAGCCGCCGGCAGTCCCGGAACCCCAGCCACCAGCCTCCACCACCCCGAAACCCCACCCCCCTTCTCTCTCGCCGCCATTTCTCCGCCGATGTCGGCCCTCTCCCCTTCCCTTCTTCTTCCCAAACGCACAAAAACGCCATTGAAGCTCCGTTGAAGCTCACGCATGAAAGCTTGAGAAACATCATTTTTTCACCAATTTTTTTTAAACTTGTACCAAAATGTTCACAATTCAACATACAATCAATTAGAGCAAACAATTTTGTGAATTGCTTCACCAAACAAAAAATCCCAATTCAATTTGTTTAGGGTTCTTCACAAAAATTGGTGGTGATTGGAGTTGCTGCTGGTCGGCTTTTGAGATGCAGTGGTTGGTGTTGGCAGGTGCTGGTGGGAGTTGGTGTGGTAAGCTCGCTGCGTGGTTGTGAACTAACGGAGAGGGAGAGGAAGGGGGGTGGGGTTTCGGGGTGGTGGAGGAAGGGGGGTGGGGTTT